CCATCGCGCCCTCCATGTCGCAACGCGCCGCAGGAAGATGGCGGATTTACGACCGTGTCGTCATAACAACGGGCCGCGCTGAGGAGAGCGAGAGAGAACGACGAGAGGAGGGCGGGGCCAGACCTGTTTGACAGACAGCCGGCGGGGCGGAGTCTAGGAGGAGGAGCCTGGAACCGCAGAGGCTACGCCAGACTCCCGGAGAGAAGGCATGGGGCGGGGCTGCTGGGGGCGTGGTTACAGTGGAGCGGGCAGACAGACGAAGGGGCGCGGTCAGAGGCGGTCCCTCGGGGCGGGGCTTGGTGCGGTAGGGTCGCGGCCCCGCGGGAGGAGCGGAGGGCTAGGTTCCCAAGCTCAGTCGGGCCGGGGACCCACCCGAAGGGATTGTCGAGGCTGGCGGGTGGCCCGCGGGACACTGTCCCCGCTCCGACAAGTAGTGTGGTGCTCACCGCCGTGGCCTTACCGTCTCGGGTCCCTTGTTAGTTGTCGGGTCCCAAGGAAGAACCCGAATTGGGTTTGGCTCTCGGGTAACTTCACTAACCCTTCTACACTAATGCATTTCTTTTAAATTGTAATAAATACCCATAAGATTTACCACTGGTCACATTTAGCGCATTCACAGTATTGTGGGAACATTAGCAACATCTAGTTCCGGAACCTTGTCCGCAAAGAAAGGGAAACCTGTCCCCTTAGCACTCCCGTTCTCCCCTACTCCTGGCCTCTGGCAACCAGTTTCTGCCTGTATGGCTTTGGCTTTTCTGGACATTCTCAATTAAGTGGAATTACACATGTAGTCTTTGGTCTGACTTGTTTGGCTTAGCATAATGTTTGCCAGATTCATCGATGTTGTAGCATGTGACCATACATCACTTTTTATAGATGAATAATACTCCATTATCTGCATAGACCAGAATGTATTCATCCACTGCATTTGGGTTGTTCCCACCTTTTGTACTTATTAAGAATAATGCTACCATGAACGCGTGCAGACAAACTCCTTTTATTCTTTTTTTTTAAAAGATTTTATTTATTTATTTGACAGAGAGAGACAGAGATCACAAGTAGCAGAGAGGCAGAGAGAGGGAGGGGGAAGCAGGCTTCCTGCTGAGCAGAGAGCCCAATGGGGGCTCGATCCCAGCACTCTGGGATCATGACTGGAGCCGAAGGCAGACACTTAACCGACTGAGCCACCCAGGCACCCCTCCTTTTATTCTTTCTAAGACAGTCTTTAGTTCGCTCTTTGAAGCTAAGCGCTGTACAGGACTTTTTCATTTGATATCAATCATCCCCATTTTGAAGATGAAGAAACTGAGGCACAGAACTGATAGGATGCTTGCCGGAGGGCAGACTGGAGACTCAAAGTCTGTCCAGAGCCATGGGCTGGAAACCCACAGGGTGTGCTCTCCCAGCTCAGTTATTTTCTGTGACCCAGCCCAGTGCTGGATGCCAAAGACTCAGATGAATCAGAGCTGGTCTCCTCCAGCAAGGCTGGTCTCCAGGCAAGACCAGGCAGAGACACAAGGGCCCAGGCAGAGAGTGAGCAGCTGTGCCCTGGGAAGGACACCAAGCAGAGACAGTCTCCATGCCGTGGATGCCCAGCTGGGGCCCCGGGGACCCTCGGCCTGGCAGGAGAACGGGATGTGTGAAGTGCAGGTCAGATCACTGGAGGTGGGGCTGGGGTAAGGGTGAGGCTGCTTTCTGCAGGGGACTTGCTCACCTTTGCAGGAGTTTAAGCAGATGGAGTGACAGCATTTCAAAAGGATCCCTCTGGCTACTGTGCAGAGAAAGGACCACAGAAGCAGGGAGATCCCAGATGGATGGTCTCTGAGAAGGACCAACAAGAGGAAGAACAGGTGAGGGTATGTGGCAGGGGGCTGGGGAGGGAGGACCAGGATGACACCTCAGTTCAGGTGGTGCTGAGGAGTACTAGGGGAACCGATGTCAGAGAGACCTAGTAAGCACCCAAGAGAATGGAGTGGGGAAGGGTCTCAAAGGTGGAGAGGACAGCCTGCGTGTGGGTGACCAGGAGGAGGAGCTGACCCAGAGGAGACAGAGAGCCTGCCCTGCTGTGTGCTCCAGAGCCACGTCAGGCTCCCCAGGAGTCAGAAAAGGGCCTCTTGATCCAGTGACTCCCATGTCCTGCCTCAGCCAGAGCCCAGGCAGGCCAGTGGACAGGCCTGAGGTCTCTGAAAGGCAGAGTGGCCAGCGCAAGACAGGAAAACTAGAGTTCCCCTTCCCCCCAGATGGCCTCCTCCGGTCCCACCCAGCCCTCAGCATAGGCTCTAGCTGCACACTGTTTGATATTCAATGCTCTGGTCACAGAAACACCAGCCCCCTTTAGGAGGACTGCTCAATCTCTATTCTTTGGATGTACTTTAATTTATTTAACCAATCTCATGTTGAAGAATTTTTAGATTGTTACCATTTTTTTTTTTTTTTTTTTGGCCACTTGAATCCTTTTTCAATGACTCCCATTTTTACTTGGCTCATTAGAAGCAAAACCATCTGGGAAAACACAGATTCAATTGCTGCTTGCGTTTTCTAATACAATTTAAGTCCTTGCAAGGCTATTAAAATTAAATAGAATCTGTTCTTGGGCCATCTCCATCTATGCCCCATTCAGTTGGCAGGCAGGGCTTCCTCACTTGCGGGAACCCTGGCGCCAACCATTCACAGGTATACAGTGAGCATCTACTATGTGTCGGGGACACCCCATGATCGTGGGGTACTCCTCTCCCATCCAGACACAGGGCATCTCACACCTCAATTCTCCCCGCCGCCCGCCTCCATGAAGTGTACCAAGTGTACCATCCCTTCCAGCCTCTGGCAGGACCTCATCCGTAACAATGTCCTCTCCTGTTCCAGACCATTCCCTCCTTCCCACTACGCTGGCTCAGGCCCTACCACTCACAGGGAATGTTAAGGCAAACAGGTGTGACACGGCTCCACTCTGGAGTCACCTGGGTTTAATCCCAGCTCTGCATTGTCCAGCTAGTGACTCTGTGTGACTCAGTCTCCTCATCCATGAATGGGGACGCTAACAGTCCCTGCCTCCTAGGACCATCTCGGTCCGACAACAAAATGCAGGTAAGGAGCAGTGCTCAGCGCCTAGATGTTTACTGGGTGCCCAGGAAACCAAAACAACTGGGCAGTATTCTCCAAGCTGGCCGGTGGCTGGGCAGCAGTAAGACTTCCCATTCTGGTCAGTGTATACACTAGATGCTTCTGGGTGGTGAACAAACCCCGTGCTTCCCAGAGTCAGCTGCACACCAAAACTAAGTGGGAAGAGGCAGGGAGGAAGGCTCCCCTTGTGGGTAGTGGGTACACCAGGCAGGAATATTCTGCACGCCCTGCCCTTGTGCAGTCAAATGCTCTACCACTGAGCTATACCCCCCCCCCCCGCCCTGCCCTTGTGGACCATGGCCCTTCAAACTTCCTCCAGGAGTTCCCGGGGCCGGCAGAGACCAACAGAAACCAGCCGGCTGTAAATAAACAGGGCCCTAAGGGAACTAAGGTCACTGGTTTACCTCATGGGTTTTGGGGTGGGGGTGGTGGGTCCGAGCTGACTTTATGGAGATCTGGGGCCCAACAGAACAGCAGGGGTTGACACCCTGGGAGCTGAGAGACTGGGTGGCCTGGCACAGGGTAGACTTTCAGGAAACCGGGGCCCTTCAGAGCTCTGCTACCTGGTCCGATGGAACGTAGTAACAAGCGCCTACCGGTGTGAACTTGCGACTCCCCTCCCAAGTAGACTTCACCCAAGAGAAATGAGTGCCTGGGTCCCCGATTGGCTGAGGGGGAACCAGAACGTCCATGCAGGTATTATTTACAACGCTCCCAACCTGGAGACCGCAGTGTCGCTCAGCTGCGAAACAGACACACAGGGGTGTGTCCTTACGACAGCGCACTGACAATGAGCGCGCGCGGCGGGATGGCCCCACCGACCTGCTGCTGAGCCGCAGGAGCAGCCCGTGCTTCCGTCCCGGCGCTGAGACCACCTGGGAAGGCAGGGGAGGCTGTGACTCACCCCGCAGCGACAGGCTCGGGAAAGTGGCCGGGGGAGGGGAATCGTTCGTGTCTGGAGAGGGGCCGCCAGGCAGCTTTCTGCCGCGACGGAGAGGCCCCGGCGCGATCCGGGCCGCGTTTGCACGGGCGTCTGTGTGAAAACGCCGCCGCGCGGCACACCGGACGCGCGCACTTCACTGACGGTGTGCCTCACGAGAGTCGGCCGGGGCCCCCGCAGCAACGCGGCCGCCGAGCGGGGTCGCGCGGCCCCGAGCCCGGCGCCGGCAGTTACCGGCTCACGTGATCCCTGAGGCAGCCCCAGCGCCCGGCCCTGCTAAGGCCCCGGGAGGGGGCTCCGCGCACGGCTGGAAGCGGGAACGCCGGGCCCACCGGGACGGAGCCCCGGGCTGGCCCTCAGCAGCGGCCTTACTCCGCCACGCGCCAGCGGCGTGTCCCGGGCGGAGGGCACGGCCCGGCACCGCCCACGCGAAGGTGCGGACGTGACTCGGGCCCGAGGGGTACAGCGGCTCCCCGCCCCCCTTCACGTCCTGCCGGCTCCAGGCCACGGAAAAGCCAGCCAATCCGCAGCCGGCCCGGCCCGGGGTCACTCCATTAAAGGCCTCCGTCACCTAAGCTGACCACGCGCCACCAATGGGCGAGCCGCCCCGAGGCAGCCAATGAGCATCAGCCTTACGGCCAGCGCCGGCCCTGGGCTTCTCCGCAGCGTTTCCGCAGTGAACGCTCCACTCCGAATGCCGGTTGGCTCCCTGCCAGCCAATCAGCGGGGCGCCCCGGGCCCGTCAGCCAATGGCCGCCCGCCTCCCCGCGCCGGGCCGCGACGGTTGGCGCTGAGCTCCCGCAACCCGCGGGAGGCGGGGGCGGATTGGCGCAGGCGGCGTCCAATGGGCGGCGCACGCGAGCAGCGGAGCCAATGAGCGCGCCGGGGGCGGTGCGGGCGCGGCGGCGGGCGGCTGCAAGGAGCGGCCGGTGGCGGCGGCGGCGGCGGCGGCCGGTGGCGGCGGCGGCCATGGCGGCGGCGGAGGCCGGCGGTGACGACTCCCGCTGCGTGCGGCTGAGCGCCGAGCGGGCCCGGGCGCTGCTGGCCGACGTGGACACGCTGCTGTTCGACTGCGACGGCGTGCTGTGGCGCGGCGAGACGGCCGTGCCCGGCGCGCCGGAGGCCCTGTCGGCGCTGCGGGCCCGCGGCAAGCGCCTGGGCTTCATCACCAACAACAGCAGCAAGACCCGCGAGGCCTACGCCGAGAAGCTGCGGCGCCTGGGCTTCGGCGGCCCGGCGGGGCCCGGCGCCCGCCTCGAGGTCTTCGGCACGGCCTACTGCACCGCGCTCTACCTGCGCCAGCGCCTGGCGGGCGCGCCCGCCCCCAAGGCCTACGTGCTGGGCAGCGAAGCCCTGGCCGCTGAGCTGGGGGCCGTGGGCGTCGCCTGCGTGGGCGTGGGGCCCGAGCCGCTGCAGGGCGACAGCCCCGGCGCCTGGCTGGAAGCGCCGCTCGATCCCGACGTGCGCGCCGTCGTGGTGGGCTTCGACCCGCACTTCAACTACATGAAGCTCACCAAGGCGGTGCGCTACCTGCAGCAGCCCGGCTGCCTGCTCGTGGGCACCAACATGGACAACAGGCTCCCGCTGGAGAACGGCCGCTTCATCGCGGGTCCGTGCGGCCCGGGGGCGCGGGGGTGGGGGCGGGCCGTGGGCACCTCTTCCCCTCTGACCCCGGGTGCTCCCCTCTCCTCCCTCCCCTACGTCTCCGCCCCGCAGGTACCGGCTGCCTGGTCCGAGCCGTGGAGATGGCCGCCCAGCGCCAGGCCGACATCATCGGGAAGCCCAGCCGCTTCATCTTCGACTGCGTGTCCCAGGAGTACGGCATCAACCCGGAGCGCACCGTCATGGTGGGAGACCGCCTGGACACGGACATCCTCCTGGGCGTCACCTGTGGCCTGAAGACCATCCTGACCCTCACCGGCGTTTCCACACTAGGGGATGTGAAGAGTAATCAGGAAAGTGACTGTATGTCTAAGAAGAAAATGGTCCCTGACTTCTATGTTGACAGCATAGCTGACCTTTTGCCTGCCCTTCAAGGTTAAAGATTTAGTGTCTTTAATCTCCAGAATAAAACGAATTGAACACCACTTACCCAAATTAATAAGTGGGGCTTAAGCATCCGCTCAGCTAGGTGGCTTCAAAGAGTATACTTGGAGTTAAGTAAAGGCACTAGTTGTTAACCTTGGAAGTAAACGTTTGGGGGGCAATATTGTTTACAAACGCTTCTATTGGAAGATGCACTTTTAAACCTGGAGGGCATTGTGGGGGGTCCTGGGCTTCGGGTGCCATTGACAAGGACAGGCTTAGCATCTGTCCAGGATTCAGGTGACCTCAGGGTGGTTACCCAGCCTGCTGATGGGCCCCGGGCAGGTCTAGGGATGTTCGATGTTTCATTGAAGATTTCATTCAGGGATCAGGCCCCCCCCTTCCAGGCCAAAGGGAGAGCGGTCTGATGATTTTGACTGTTGTGAGAAACTTGTACAAACGGATGCACAGCCTGTTGCTGTGGGCATCTGCCTGTGAGCCTGCTGTGGCGTCCCAGCCCCTCACCTGCAGGGTGGGTGTAGAGGACAGCGCTGCTCCCAATGCTGTCTCCCTGTCCTTGGGGTGTCCTCACCACCGCCCCACACTTCCTTAAAAACCACTCTGATGTCACAATCAAGTGTCTGTTCCGTTTCAGATACCCAGGGCTGCCACACCTCATACGTGATCACAGAGTTCTGTAAACTCAGTCCAGCTAAACCTCAGCTTTCTCAAATGTGCATTTAAATCCAGCTGATCTGGACTGAGCACATTGTTAGCTGAGTGGCCAAGAGTGTGGATGCCTTTGCTGAACTCTGGGCTGCTGTGCAGAGAGCTCAGAGTAGCGTTGGTACCAAAAATTATTTTTTTAAACTTTTGAACAACTTTTGTGAAACGGTGGAATTGAATCTTAAGTCTGTTAATTAATAGCTGTGCTCTGTCTCGTAGGGAAAATCCCTCCGAAGAAGTCTGCGTGCCCCGCACCCAGCAGCACGGCTAAAGGCACGTGCTGGCCAAGAAATGCCTGTCACCCTGGGCGCCCTCTGGGTGGGGCAGGAAAGAGGTGTCCCCAGGAACAGGAAATCCTTTCGCAAAACATCCAGTCTCTTCTTGTTCTGCTCCTGAACCCTCAGTTGGGGTGGGGGTTACATGCCCATGGTCCTTGAGGCCACTTCTTTTGGCTCTGGAGTTCCTTGTCAGATGCCAGTGGGAAAACCGGCAGGGTCTGTCTGCTAGCCAAGAGTTCTTGGCAGAGGGCTCTGGCCTTTTCTGCCTGTTCCCTAAAGTTGCTGACCTGATGAGCAGACCGTCCAGCTGCACTTGGAGGGTAGGGCCTGAGAAGCTGTTCCTTTTGGCAGACTCCTTCCCAGCGCCTCACTCTGTCCCCAGTGGCATTTGCCCACGAGCTTCTCTCCTAGCCCGAGGGGGACTCCTTCCCTCATGCTCAAAGTTCTCATAGCAATAAAGGGTGTCCCGAACCCACAGCTCTTCCCAGGCCCAGGCTCTATGGGGTTTGGACTCTGCTGTGGGGCATCATGAGGGCAGCCAGCGCCTGTGAGGTTGGTGGTGCTGACGTTGGCTCTGCGAGGTCGGCTCAAGTTGGGTCTGGATATTGAGCAGGCCTGTCAGGGCGTTGTCACCCACACCAGGAGCACGCAGCAGGGCAAGCAGCACCACCTGTCCTGCCGGGCAGCGCCCCCGGAGCCCACGTGCACCCCACCTCTGCCCCTCGTTGCACTGTGTGAACCCAAATGCATATTAAAGTCTCAAACCGCGCTAACTCTGGCGTTCTTTGCCCTTGTTTTGATAGCAGCCTTTGCGCAGAGGCTACAGCTGCGTAGCCCGGGGTTGGGGGGGGGCGGTGCTGCTGTCTAAGAAGGACGCGTTCTGGGATTCGTTCCAGAGCTGGGATGCTGACCGCCAGGATGCCATCGCATCCCAGGCCCATGACATGGAGGGCTGGCTTCAGAAGAATCAGCAAGACCGGCACAAAGGAAAGCCAAGAACAGGAAAGGGCAACAGGGTGAAGGGGCGCGGAGCCCTCATGTCCTGCCAGTGCCAGAGGGAGCCCTGACTCAAAATCTACAGCACCGAGAAGTCGGAGATGTGAGCTGGGAGCAGAGGAAGCCAGCTCGGGCAGGGCAGGGCGGGGTCTGGCCGACCTGACTGACCATCCCGGGGCGTGTGGATGGGCCTGTCGGCTGCGAAGAAGCCATCCTGCTCCCAGTCCCATGTGCTGTGGACTGCCCCTTGGCCCGGCCCATCTGAGGGGCCGGGAAGTGGCCGGGGGACGGGGGATGTTAGGACAGAGGCAGCGCGAACTCCCATACCAGTGTTCGTGGAACACATTTATTGATGGCCTGAGCCCTGGGAATCCAGGAATAACCCGAGACACTGGAACAGCCTCTTTAGGAAAATGAAGTCTGTCCCCAGCCAGACTCTAAAGTCGTCCTGCCTGGGCCTTGGGCTGCCTTCATGCCAATCCATAGGACTTGACTTCCTTGACCGCTGGCGGCGCTCTTCACCCTCTCGGGGCCCCGCACTCTGCACAGGCCGGGTGTCGGGAGAGCCAGGCACCGTGACAAACACCCTGCACCCCAAGCAGGGGGAGCTGCCCTGGCTCCAGGAGAGGAGGGGGCCGGGACGGTGGCTTGGCTCATCACGGCTGTACTAAGGTTTCCCTAGCTGACTCCAAGGGGTGGCAGACAATCCCCGCATTGTCACCAGGGCTGCACCATGGAGCAGAGGCGCTGCGATGAGGAGAGCCCCGGGCCTGGGCTTGTCCAGGTGAGTGCCTACAACCACCCAGCACCCTCTTCTAGGACGGGAGACCCTGGGCACGCCCTGGGCAGGGGACAGGAGTGCAGGACCCACCTCGCGCACCTCAGCCCCTGCCTTCCTGAGCCAGCCTGCTCCCCAGTCTCTGTTCCAGGCCCCACAGGCTGCAGTGTGCCTCCAGGTGAAGGCCAAGGTCTGCCCTGGGGGCTGGAGGGGCCCCGGCCTGCTGCTGCTGCTGGCACTGGCTGCTGCTGGGGCTGTGGCTGGAGGACTTCTTGGCTTTGCTCACAGTCCCCCCAAGGTGAGCTCCTCCTGGGGACCTGGCCTGGGGCACAGACAGTGGGAAGGGGAAGGAAAGGCCAGGACCTCCCAGCCCTCCAGTGGAGCCAGGGCTCAGAGCAGTGACTGGAACACCAGGGGTGGCGGGGAGGGAGGTGGTGTCGGGGGCTGCGCCAGCCTGCCCAGTGAGCTCTGGCTCCCCAATCTCAGCCTCTGCTGCAGATGCTCCGTCTGACCCCCCCAAGCCCTGGGGCACACCGGTCCATCCAAACTGCCCAGGTGGACGCGGCCCAGAATATGGCAACCATCCGGGTGACCTCGGCTCAGAGCAACCGTAGCTGGGCAGTGCTGTTCGACGGGCAGAGCGTGAGTGGGTTGGGGGAGTGGTCAGCACCCACAGAGGCTCGGGTGGCCCTGCCTCACCCGCCTGCCTCCCTAGGGCTGCGTCTGTTACCGCCCCTCGGAACACCCAGCCTGCTTTCTCTGCCCGATGGAGCCCCGAGACCGCGAGACCCTACAGCTGCTGATGAACACGTCCAGGGTAAGCAGCCCCATGCGGCCAGGCTCCCCGGGCCAGGGGGCAGACAAAGGGTCCTGTGTACAGCCCAGGCCTGAGGCAGGCTGGAGCTCTGGTTTCAGGGAACAGAAGGCCTGTCTTCTCTTGGCCGACGCCACTGACAAGAGCGAAGGATGGTGCTGGCCCCAGGCCAAGTGTCCAGGGACACACAGGCATGGCCCCAGCCCAGGGGAGCGCCAGTACCCCCACACCCTGGCCCACCAGAGCTTTGTCTGCAGGACCACAGGCTCCCCAGCCCCAGCCAGGACACCCACTACACCCAGGAGCTGCTGGCAGTGCTGGGGAGCCGCGAGGTGGACCCTGCCCAGGTGGGCGACTCTGTGCGGCATCTTTGTGGCAAGACGCCCATTTACTGGGCCCGCCGAGTGGAGGGTAAGTCAGGTGCTGTTGTGGGGCCCGTTGTGGGGCCCGGGCGGAAGGGGTTGGAGCTGCGGGGGCTCACGCAGGCCCTTTCCCCCAGGGCCCCAGAGGCAGCGGCTCATCTACCTGTGCATCGACATCTGCTTCCCCAGCAACATCTGCGTGTCCGTCTGCTTTTATTACCTCCCAGACTAAGTGCCTCACCCGGCCAGCCCCCCAGGCCGGCCTCGTCGCAGGTCATGGAGGGTAGCTGTGGGCGGGAGTTAATAAACGCTCCACCTGGCCGTGACACTGTTCTCTCGGGCCTCAGGACACAAAACGGGCAGGGTGGGTACGAGCACGGGCTTGGGGTTGGGCCCCAGCCTGGGACCCCGTGGGCTCTGTGGATCTGGAATTTTGGAAGCAAGTGAAGGCTGGCTCGGCAGGCTTCTGGGCCTCGTCACACCCACAGAAGCAACGGGAGCTGAGAAAACCCCAGGGCATGCTGGCCTGGCCAGTTGCAGCCGGCCACGGGGTCCAGCGGGCTCGAGGGTGAGGGGCTGGCCCATGGAGGTTCACACTGGCCTGGGCAGCCGAGCACACCTAGTCCGCAGGTGCTCCCTGGACAGCCGCCTACAATCCGGGGAGCCACGGGCTAGCCCAGCACGCTGTCATTGAAGGCCAAGCAGACGACAGCTTTCTGGTGGCCGCCATACTCTCTCTTAATCTCTCCTGTCTCCACACACCAGAGCCGGGCCAGGTTGTCAGACGAAGCTGTAGGGAGGGATGGGGGCAGGAGCTCAGGGGAAGCCCCAGGCCGGGGCCCATCACGGCAGGAGCTGGCCGGCGCCAGGCGGTGGTGGCCGGGCGGGCAGGGGCTCACCGGTGACGATGTACTGCGAGTCCCCCGAGAAGGCGCAGCCCCACATCCAGCCGCGCGAGGACTCCCCCGGGTTGCCGCTCTTGATGCTGAGTTCCGTCATCAGCGAGAAATTGGACGTCCTCCAGATCTTGCACGTCTGGTCAGCCGAGCACGTGGCCAGGAGCCTAGGGGTAGACGTACGTGCAGCAGGGGATCGCCAGCAGCCACTCCCACCTTCACCCCGGAGCCGTACAAGGGCCCCACCCCCCGCAGACCGCACGCACGTGGAGTCAGGGCTGAAGCGGCACTGCAGGGCGTAGCGGGCGTGCGCTGGGATCTTGGTCTTCGGGATGAGCTGTGTCACCTCGTCACCAATGCCCCCAGTCAGGTTCCAGACGTAGCAATTCCCCTGCGATTGGAGGGGATCGTGGGACACCTGGAGCCTTCGGTCTGACACCTGGGAAGGGAGGCCCTCATGGCCAGACCCGGATGCAGGGGCTGCCGTCCCACTGGGGGCTGCACACCGGGATCTGGGGGCTGGGGACACATGGCAAGCGCAGCTGGGCCGGGCTGCAGGGAGCCCCAGGCAGTCTGAGAGCCGGAGGCCATGCCTGGCCTTCGAGCAGAAAGCTGCTGGCTCGAGGGAGGGTGAAGGATGAGATGGGAGCGAGACATGTCAGATGGAACAGCCGGAGGGTGACGTGGGGACACTACGGGACCAGTGAGTCATCGAGAGGCAAGGGACTTTGAAGGGGAGAAGACGAGGCCGGATGGGAGAGCGGGGCCACACCACAGTGTCCCACAGCCATGGCGAGGACCCAGGGCGCCAGGGGGTCCACGCAGGGAACGCTGGCATCGGCGGGCGCTGAAGGAGCGCTGTGTGGGGGCAGAGCCTCAGTGAGGAGGGAGGGCGGCCGCTGCACAGGGAGCGGAGGCAAACGTGGGCCAGGAGGAGCCAGGGAGGAGAGGGAAGTAGACAGACTCGAGAAGTTGTGGAGGTGGAAGTCACGCCCGCTGGCTGAGCTGTGCAGTAGTGAGAGGGGGCGTCAGCAGCAACACCCCGCTTTCTGGCTTGGCTGGCTGGCTTGGATCTGGAGCCCAGGATGAGGAAACAGGCCCGGGGGATGTGGGGGGGGGGTCTGAGGAGCATCTGGGGACTGAGCCATGTGCAGGGAATCGGGAAGACCAGGGACTGGGTGCTGAGCCAGCCTCCCCCGGCACAAGCACACCCGAGACTCACGGTGCTGTTGACAGCCGCCATGTAGCTGGCGTCAGGGTCAATGTGGGCAGACGTGATGGAGACCTCAGGCTCGGGTATCAGCTGCTCGTTGTGGTCAGTTTTCAAGTCCCAGATGTGGATGGCACCGCTCTGGTCCCCCACAATGAGCTCCGCCTGGGGTGCAGGGGAGGTGAGGGAGGGCCGGTCCCCTGCCCTCCAGAGCCCCACGGTGCCCGGCCCTGGGAGCGTCCCTCACCTGGTTGGGGTGCAGGCACACGCAATTAATGGGTGCGTTCACCTGGAAGATCCGCTGGCACTGCAGGTTCCGGGACCTTTGGGGGCACATGCGCTCTACTGGGTGCTGCTGGCGCCCCCAGACGCTCTTTTCCTACCATTTATGCTCGTTCCTCTGCTGATAGCAGCGCTGTCACACCACACACCAGCTAGACTTCCCCCACCCCCCCGGGGGCAGCCCCTCAGCCCAGGCTTGGGGGACTCACTCTCTAGAGCTCCTTGGAGGATCAGGCTGAGACTGGGCTCATCTTCGTGTGGCTCCACCCCCTGCCCTACCCTGGTTTTGTCACCACCCTCAGCAAATCACCCGCAAAGAAAACCCCATCTGGGCCTCTGCTCGGAGGGCCCTGGCCTGAGACAGCCCGGCCTGGCCCCCCACCCCCGCACACCCGGCAACAGGCCCTTCCTGCCCGCTGCCCCACACCTGAGGTCCCAGATCCGCGCTGTGCAGTCCTCCCCACCCGTGTACATCCAGCGGCCATCCTCATGGAAGCCCACGGATGCGATGTTCTTGTTGACCCCATCGTAGCTGATGATGGGGTTGGGGTTGTTGGAGCTGAGATCATACATGCGGATGTGCTGGTAGCCTGGGGACACAGGCTGAGCTGCAGGGTGGCTGTGCCCAGGCCAGCCCAGCAGGGATCGGGGTGGGGCCGAGGGTACAGCTACCTGCAGCGGCGATCATGCTGCGGTCTGGCGTGATCTCCAGGGCATTCACCTGCTAGGTCTGTTAAGGAGGACAAACAGCCCTCGCGCCCCCGCCCCCATCTGGCTTGGCTGCTGCAGCCTTTCCACCCCAGGCACCCCTTCCTCTTCCCAGGCTGCTGCCCCCACCAGGCATCCTTCCCGGTACCGCCCTCCCCACCTCCTCAGTGAAGGATACAGAGTCCTGATGCTGAACCGTGCGCGTGCAGATCCCACTGTGGGCCTGCCAGAACCGCACCGTGTGGTCATAGCCCGCAGTGGCCAAGATCACCGGGTCACTGCCCACTGTGCCGGGGGACGTGTTCATGGTGTGGAAGAAGAATCGCCCGCACAAGACGCACTTCTGAAAGGCAGGGGTCAAAGCTCAGAGCATCTGCAGAAGAGAGGGGTGTGCAGAATTTACGGAATACTCTCTAAGTCCACTCGCTGCTGAGAGATAGGCATTAGCATTCCCATTTTAGAGAGGTGGAAACTGAGGCTCAGAGGCTCAGGGAACGCATGACAACCTGCGGAAGTGCGCGCTTCGTTCCCCGCCCCACGGACCCGGCCGGGACGCCAACCCCACCCGCCGCCGGCAGGGGGCAGTCGCGCCCGGGGCGCCGCTCTGCCGCAGGGGCGGACCGCGCATGCGCAGGGGCGGCGGACGGGCCAGAGAGGAGAGCCGAATGCAGCGGTTACGCATGCGTAGCAGGCCGGCGGCTGAGCCTGATGGGAGGGGGTGCTCTCTGGCCAGACCCTCGGGCTCCCCCGTGCTCCGCCGACAGCCCTGGCTTCGTCCCGCTGGGCCAGCTTCCCCAGGCACGCTCTCCCGGCCACCCAGCGGCGGCTTTCTGGCCCGAGTCCCGCGGCCCCCCGTACCTTACATGCGGCTCTGCGCTCCGCCGCGCCTCAGGACGGCGAGCGGAGCGAGAGCGAATCGATAGAGGCCGCGGCCGAGCGTAGAGTTATCGATGGGCCCTTAAGGCGACACCATGGGATTTACGCGGGGGTGTTGGGGCGAGACCAACGTTCTGGGGTGGGAGGGGCCAGTAGAGGCCTCCGTGATGCCTGGCCGCAGCGTTCTCCTCACGGGCACCGCACCCTTCAGACCGCTACCGGTTTTCCAAACTTGGTCCTGAGGCGGGGCCGGGACCAACCCCTCCCCTCCATCCCCTCTTCCCCACCCCTCGGCTAGGATGCCCAAGTAAGTTGGAGGACTCCCGCCCAGTTAACGTTTGAATTGCAGGTAAGCAAGAGTCATTACAGCTTTTGGTATAAGTATATCCCAAATACCGCATGAGATATACTTACCCTAAAAAGTTACCTGTTGTTTATGGGGAATTCAAACGTAACTGGGCGTTCTGTAGTTTTATTTGCTAGTCCTAAGTCTGGGCCCTTTCGGTCCTGTTCAGCCCTGACCTGACCCGCTTGTCTGCCCACTCAGCCTCAGTGACCCCTGCAAAGCTGGGGTCCCTCATTCCTCCTGTGCCATTTAGCGCTCCCACACTCCAGGCACTGTGACCTCAGCTCTCCCGCATTTTTCCCCCCCACGATGCTTAGAAACGCAGCTGCACACAACCCCCTTCCTTCCTCTGGCTCCTTGACCAAGGCCTCAAACCTCCACTACGCCCCCCAAGCCCTGGGTGGCAGGAACCTTCCCCCCATCCCTTCCATGCCTCCCTCCTTCCTTCCCCGCAGCCCGGAGCCCCCCCTCCAGCAGACACTCTGCACGGCTCTCCCCACCCCTCCCGTGTCCTCACTTCCTGCTCACTTCTCAGCCCACTGTCGTCTTTGGCCCCGGATCCCCAGTGGAAGTATCGCAAGGTCACGGGTGGCCTCACACCGACAAACCTGCCGGATGCTTTTCCTCTCGCATCTTGACACATGCGCGCAGCGGTTGACAGTTGACAGCGCTAGTCCTGAAATCTCCCTCGCTGCTCAGCTTCCCGCCAGTCTTTCTCTGCCTTCCCTTAGAGCCTGGTCCCCTCCAGGGTTCTGGTCTCTGCACCAAGGGGCCCGTGCGCTCTCCAGGACTTCCAGTATCACCCATGTTGGGAGGCCTTCCGCCCTGTCTCCAGCTCAGACCCGCCTCCCTGATAGACAGTCCCTAGACAGCTCTGCTTCCCGTGGCCATGACCACTCATTATGGAGCTCCCCCAAACGGCTTCCCCTTCTGTGTGCCAGAGCCCCTCACGTGTTACCACTTGGCGCAATCCAGTGGCGTCCGTCACCCCCTCTGCCAGAACTGCCTCCTACCCCACCTCCCTGCACTGCTGCCCCCATCCAGGCTGTCTTTCACATTGCAAAGTGGTCTTTTAAAAATCGAGACGCTTTCATGGGTCCCCCTTACCCTCCAGACCCCCGGCCCCTGCCAACCGTGCGACTTTCTCCTCTCTCCATTCCAGAGGCTCCATGCTCTATCCTGCCAGCATGGACAATAGCCTTGGGCTTCAACCTCCGCTACACGCTCCCTTCTGAGCTCTCGCCCGTGCCCCACTGAGGATGCGCGCCCGGATACCTCTTTACATGCCACACTCGGGGTTGTCAGCACCTTTGTAGCGTCTGTAGGAAGCATTATGCTAGTGTTTTTGTTTTCATTGAGGTAAAATTCACACACTGTGAAGCTAGCCATTTTGTAAGGTTTTATTTATTTTTTTACTTATTTTATAAGATTTTATGTATTTATTTGACAGAGAGAAAGCACAAGCATGGTGAGCAGGAGAGAAAGAACCATTTATTTATTTGACAGAGAGCGAGAGTGCACGACCTGGGGCTCAATCCCAAGACCCTGGGATCATGACCTGAACCGAAGGCAGATGCTTCGCCGACTGAGCCACCGAGGTGCCCCTTACTTATTTTTTTAAGTAATCTGTACACCCAATCTGGGGTTTAGACTCATGACCCCGAGATCAAGAATCACATGCTCTTCCAACTGGGCCAGGCAGGCGCCTCTAAAATTCACCATTTTTAAAGTGAACAATTCGGGGCGCCTGGGTGGCTCAGTGGGTTAAAGCCTCTGCCTTTGGCTCGGGTCATGATCCCAGGGTCCTGGGATCGAGCCCCGCATCGGGCTCTCTGCTTGGCAGGAAGCCTGCTTCCCCCCCCCCTCTGCCTGCCTCTCTACCTACTTGTGATCTCTGTCAAATAAATAAATAAAATCTTTTTAAAAAAATAAAGTGAACAATTCAGTGGCACTTAATATGTTCACGGTGCTGTGCAACCACTAACCTCTGTCTACTTCCAGAACATTTTCATCAACCCAAAAGAAAACCTCTGTGCAGTCTTTCCCTTTGCCTCTCCCCCCTCAACCCCACCAGCCCCTGGCAAATACCAGTTTACTTTCTGTCGCTGTGGATTTCCTATCCTGGGTGTTGGGTATCTGTGCGATCCCACAGCACACGGACTTCGTCCCTGGCTTCTCTCGCTGGGCATCAAGTTTTCAGCGTCCCTCCAGGTGCTAGCAGGGGTCAGACCCTCATTCCTTTTTATGGCCGAATAATATTCCAGCGTGCGCGGCTGGACCCTATTTGTCTACCCACTCACCTGCTGACGGACGCTTGACTTCTTTCCCCTTTTTGGCTATTACAAATAATACTGCCGCGAACATCCCCACACAAGAAAGTGTGTCATTTGAAGTACGTGTTTTCATTTCTCTGTACACTAGCCGTGCAATTGCTGGGTCACATGGTAACTCTAACTTCTTGAGGAACCGCCAGACCATGCTGCGCGTTTTCTGGCATTATGCATCAGGTCTTTCTAATGGCTCTGCCGAGGAGAAACCACCCTCATTTGGGAGACGAGGAAACTGAGGCTCAGAGAAGCCGACTCATACGTTGCAGTCCGCACCCGCGGGACACGACGGAACCCATCCTGCTGGCTCAGCTTCCCACTGACCTTGCCCCTTCTGAGAGCCCCCACACTTGCCCGTCCTCATCCTCCGTGCTGAGTACCAGAGCTCTGCCGGGCTCAGAGGCAGCTCTGGGAGCGGCAGTGAATGTGGGGTCGGAAGGCTGGGGGAGTGAGAGCTCTGTGCACCCCGGCGCCTGAAGGACATCCAGAGCCCTGTGAAGCCACCAAGGAGCCTGGGAGGAGCAGGAGAGAGGGGTGGGGCGGTGGAAGGCTGGAGGACTCCCCCCACGGGTCTCTGCGGTCCCACCTGTGTCCCAGAGGTCAGGCCCTGCACGCTGTTGGGCTTTCCTGTGGGGCTCTGGGTAAGAGCCTGGGGACCGCACATGTCCCTTGCCTAGGCTAACGAGCAGACGAGGCGGGGCTCCCCCCCCCAAGCTTGAGTCCCCCCAGCATCTCTGCTGCATAAGAAGAGAGCCCGGGACCCATAGCTGTCGATCCCCTCTTACGCACCCAGCACCAGCCAAGCCCTTTACCAAGGTGGCGTCCATGAGAATGAGAGCAGCCCCGGGCAGCTAATGTGCTGCATGCTCCCCGCAGCCCAGGGGAGGGTATGTTCGTCCTCCCCGTGTCCTACAGCAGGGGCCAGGCATCAGGGCTCTGGGGGGTGGGGGGCCGGGAGGAGCGCTGGGGAGGAGCACCAGGGGCAGCTGCAGCTGGTGGACAGGAGCGGGGGCTGCAAGGCCGCCAGCGGAGACCGCCACGCAGCTGGGAAGGGGGCCGGCCTGGGCTGCAGTGAGGCAGCCGCCGCCGGCTCATGAGTCTGGCCAATTCTGCTGGCTCAGCAGCCCCTCCTCCCGGGATCCTCGGAGGCCTGACTTCCTGGAGGGCTGCCCAAGTCCCACGCCTCCACTTCTTCATCCCCCAGCCAAGCTAACCCCTGTCCTCTGGCTGGGGGGATCCGCCGGCAAAAGCACATCTCTGTTTTCAGGTGGACCCTCCCATGAGCCCTGAGCGGCAGGCAGAACTGCCGGCCCATTTTACAGATGAGGCAGCTGAGTGTCAGGGCCTTGTCCAAAGTTGCCAGGCTGGCTGGCAGCGGATCTCGGGCTTCTTGGGCCCTCCTAGGCCATCACCTTCTCCTGGCAGAGTGAGTCCAGCAGAATGTATACAGCGCTCTTCCCAGGTCTGTGCTCCTGAAGGTGGACTCCACAAGAGGTACCCCCTTGTAGGTCCGGGGAGTGACTCTGGGGTGCCTGTCTGTGGGGTGTGGACAGAGCTGGGGGTGGGGCAGCCGCAGGCAGGCCCAGTTCATTACCCAGAGGAATTAGATTTCTCATTTGGAACTTGGCCTTTCAGGTCATGAGGAAGGTATATTTGTGAAGGTGGGAGAATAGAACATATTTTTCTTACCAAGTTATTAGCATGATTTATGACATTTAAATATCCCGACATTTGTTGTGTGAGCCTCGGTTTTGTACCCTTGCCCCAGGCTCTGCACATGTTAGGCTCAGTCCGGAGTGTTTTCCCTTAGTCGGCCAAAACATAAGAACGATGGTCAGAACGATAGCCATTTTTTCGTTTGTATTTTTTATAGTACTTCTTGTTTGCCAGGCACAGTGCTAGGCTCTGCAGATGCAAGGATGAATAAAATATCATCGCTCCCACGTGCAGAGAGCCAAGAATCTCACCATACCCACAGAAGCCACTTAGTGAGCACTTACTAAGCTTGACTGCAAAGTGCTTTGTGGATACCATCGCAAGTAATCCCCAAGCAACTCACGGAAAGCTCTCATTCTCAGCCCTATTTTACAGAAGGGAAACCAAGGCTCAGAAAGACAAAGTGACCAGAAAAACAAACCCAGTAAGAGGCAGAACTGGGACAAATGCCGAGGCAAGTGTGGGTTCAAAGCTCAGACTCATGACCTTGAGATTCTAGGGCCTTATGGGGTCCCTTGGCTTCTCTGAGCCTCAGCCTTCTTCATCTGTA